GGGGGGGGGGGGTGCTTGCTGTCTAAGCCTGAGTTAGATCCCCAGCACACACGGAAGAGGCCGGCTGTGACAGAGTATCTCTCGCTCAGTGGCTGGCCAACCTTGCTAGATCTATGGGTTCCTGGTTCAGTTAGGAGAACCTGTCTCAAAATACAACATGGAGAGTAACTGAGGAAGAAACCTGATGTTGATCTCTGGCCTCCATGTGCATGCACAGACATGTCCACACAAACACAAGTGCACATGTCCACATGAACACTACGCCACACATACAAATATATGCTGTTAAGTACATCAGCACTGCTTATTCAGCTCTGAGTTGATTCTGCATGTGGAATCTATGCCATGCATAAGGCTCTATGGAAAGCAAGTGCCCTTGGTCATAAGGTGAGTGACATGTGGGCTGTGTGTTCACTAGTCTTCTACCTGTTCAGGTCCTGAGGATGGAATGTAAACATAGACACATCGCTTCCAGCGTGCTAACACGGCTAAACACTGCATCCTCTAATGAGCAGTAACCCTCATTATGCTAATGGGCTCACTGTGGATTCAGCTATACAACAGCTCAAATGAAGGAACTGGATCTTTAAATAGCAACAAACATTTCCTAAGTAATGTTAACAGAATAAAGCAAGTTTGCAGAATATATAGTATTAATGTAAACGAGGAAGAAAATGTGTATTTAGACAAGTAATATATAAGCTGGGACAGTAGAGAAATATCAGAAACAATACCAACTTGAGTTTGCTATTATTTTTGATCCTTATATAAAATGAAACTGCCATTAACACATGGAACTACCTGCGACGTTATCACGGACACCTCGTTCTAGGCCTCTCTGGGTTGAGTACCTGGCCGAAGCTTCTTCGGTCCGTACTCCATGACGCTGTCACTGTGCTGCGACAGTCTTTCCTCCTTTCCACTGTGCCCCTCTTCATCTCCGGCATCACCATCTTTACCATCAGTCTTGCCTGTTGCTCGATCACCCAGGGCACTTTTTAACATCTATTGAGAAAATCCCTTCAGTGTCTGTCCTTGACTTCAGCGGGCAGTGAGTGGTAGAGAGCAGGCCTTGAAAAGCTGTCTGGACAGTCACTAACCAAGCTTTTAGACACACTTATGCACAAGACCTACAGCTTGGATTTCATCTACTTTGTGTATTTTGAGACAGGATTTCATTACGCAAACCAAGCTGGCCTGGAACTCAAGGTCTTCCTTCCTCAGTCTCCTCAGTGCTGGGATTAGAGGCACAGTGAGGGCATGCTTTATAGTAACATTTAAAGCATGGGCAGGCACACTTTCGATCTCAAGTAGGAGAATTACAAGTTCAAGGCCAGCCTGGCTAGCATAGGAAGTTCTAGACTATCTAGGGCTACATAGTGAGACTCTGTCTTAAAAAAAAAAAAAAAATGGCTATCAGTGCTATAGACCACTGACCACTCAATCTCAGTAAATTTTACAGAAGTCACACAGGTTTAACACAACCATTCAATGTTGTTACTCCACTATTTGAAAACCTTTGATCCAATTTTATACCACATCTGTTTTTGTGACAAAGGTGTGTATAGACAGATCTAAAAATGAATGGTTTAACATCATTACATTAAGTGACTCCATTGTCATCATAATTCAGTAAGATGTAGACAAACCCATGCCGTGTTTGGTTACAGAAGGAAGGCGAGGGCCGCTGTGTGTCTTTCCTGCTCGACTTGCAGAACTTTTTAACAGTGCCCAGCACGTAACTCATCCCCAACACCCAAGCCCAGGTTCCGCTCCCGCTGGGATCAGTGTCTACTCAAAGACTAGCCACAGAAATCTCAACCAGGATTAAAAGCCAGACTTGCCCAGTCTAGTTCAAAGAGCCGCTGAGAGAGCTTCTCTGAGACCTCATGCAGTTCTTGTTCTGTTAGCCACTTCCTGGCCTTCTGAGGGGAAGACGAATACTCTGAGGGGGTCACAACTCTGGTTTCATTTCTGTAATAAAGTGGCCAATGACAATTAACTGCCAAGGATACACTACTTATTTCAAATTGACTAATACACGGTTTAACAAATACTTCATATTGGTTCTCAAACGCTAAATCTGCAAATTATACTCTTATTTTTAAAAACATATTTATTTATTATTGGGGGAAGTGGCTGCATTGGAGTATGTCTCCATCCACCTCTCCACGGGTTCCAAGGATCCATCTGAGGTGCCCAGGCATGGGCAGCAAGCACCCTCACTGTAAGCTGTCTCTTCAGATCCCTTTACAACAGACAGTAAGCATGAGCCCACAGCGATTACCTTTTCCCTTCAGGAAGCTTCCTTGTCCTGGGGCTTTGAGTTGGAGTCAGACATGTTTCCCATTCATCATCTTTGGATAATGTGGAAGTTAAGACGACTTTATGATCTGGTTCCTAGTCAAACAGAGAGAGGTGGCTTGAGACACTGAGGTGACAGCTCAGTCAGCACCATGCTTGCCAAAGAAGCAGAAGGACCCACGTTCAGTCTCCAGCACCAAGACACCAAGGAAAACTGTCCAGAAACACTCAAAGATGGAACCCTGCAAAACAGAAATGCTCAGCCTTTCTAACAGCTTACTGCTTAACCTTCGAGGGCTGGGACTGCAAACTTATGTCACCACAGCTGTGGGGAAGCAGCACTCATTTGATGTTTCATATCTCCAGTAATTTCACTTCATTATCTCTCTCTCTCTTCCATTGGTTACTTTTTCACACACACACACACACACACACACACACACACACACACACACACACATATATATTTGTTTTTCAAGACAGGGTTTCTCTGTGTAACAGCCCTGGCTGTCCTGGAACTCACTTTGTAGACCAGGCTGGCCTCGAACTCAAGAGATCTGCTTGCTTCTGCTTCCTGAGCATTGTGATTAAAAGTGTGTGCATACCTGGTACCATTATTTGCATTTTTAAATAATGAGATTATTCTTTATAGATCTATCCTAGCACATATATGCCTGGTTTTCTCAGGAAGTCAGGGACAAGATGACAATATGAAAAAAATGTTTTTTCTTTCCCAAGGAGAGAAGAAAATATAGACCAAGATATTATGTGTTTTATACTAACCAGTGAGAATATGGATGGATTATTCTTTCCTTTCTAATTTGTAAGAACTGAATTAGGGATCTACAACTTGGGGCCAGATCTCTTAGGCCTGAGTTCAAACTCTGACTGGACAGTTGCTGTGTAGCTTCAGACAGGACGTTTGCTTGCCCAGGTCTGCTTTCCCTCAGAAGCGCAGCGTCCGTCTCCTCACAGGGAGATACAGGGGTCAACGTATCTCTTTAACTTAAGAATGCTTTTACTGTGTTCCTTTTCTGAGGCAAACCAAAGGTATATTTCTCAAGGTTCTGCTGCTATCAGCAGCGTTGATGGAGGATTTTTTATACATTTGTAATAGATAGAAATAAACCAGAAAAAAAGAAGAAAAAAAAAGTGGTGGAGGAAAAGGTGAACACTGCAAGAATACTCAAAAGGGCTGAGAGTTGCAAACGCCAAGAATGGCTTTGCATAGTAAATGGAATAGAACAGCTCTGAACTATAGCTAACTTTTCCTGGTTTGGTCTGACAGAATGATTGAATGCTTTTGTACAAAAATCAGAGCCTTAAAAACAAGGATTTGGTGAGATTGTACAATGGTGTCCCACTTTGGCAAAACAGTTTGGTGGTTGGTCAAAATGCAAAACATTGTTACTCTGTTACTCAACAATTCTACCCTTAGGAATATATCCTCAAACTACTGAAAATGTGCACCTATGAAACATGTACATGAAGGTTTACAGCAGTGTGTTGCTAATAGTAAAAAAGTTAAAACAACTCAAATAGCTATCAAATACTGGAGAGAAATAAAATGTGGCTTATTCATACAATAGAATATTATTAAGATATAAAAATGAATGAGAAACTGACAGATTAAATGACTTTGGTGAACCTTCATAATTTCATTTGTAGATCTTTCCATTTCTAATTTATAAATACATTTGGGGTTATAAATTATAAATGTACTGCCTCCTGTCAACATTGTATACTTCTATTTGATGATTTCTGTATCAAACATTATATGGAAATGTTTCCAAGTATTTTCTGTATTAACTGTGAATGAATAGAACAAAATAAATTGCCTGTGATTGAAAAAAAAAAAAGAATGCTTTTACTATTTTGTGTATGCGGGCGTTGGGCCAGTGTGTGTGTGTGTATGCACCACATGTAGGTGCCTTCAGAGGCCAGAAGAGGGGGTCTGATCCACTGGGACTGGAGTGACAGACAGGTGTGAGATGCTATGTGGGTGCTGGGAATTGAACCTGGGTCCTCTGGGGAGCAGCCAGTGCTCTTAACCGCTGAGTCATCGCTCCAGCCCCCCCCCCCTTTTTTTTTTTGTAGACAGGGTTACTTTATAGCTAAGGATGAATGTGAATTTTAATCTTCTTGCCTCTACACTCTGGGGATGATAGGCATGCACCACCACACAGGGTTTACACAATGTTGGAGATTTATGTTTTCTAGACGGGCACTCAACTAATTAGGATACATCACCAGCCTACTGAGGTAAATTTTAAGTATGATGCATCTTTATTCCCAGCACTTGGGAGGCAGAGGCAGGCAGGTCTCTGTGAATTTGAGGCCAGCCTGGTCTCAGTGAGTTCCAGAACAGCCAAAAAACAAAAGGAAAAAAAAAACTGATTTTTTTTTTTTCCTGAGAGGGTATCACTATGTAGCCTAGCCTGGCCTCAAATTCCTAATGATCCTCCTCTTAGCTTCCCAAGTGCTATGATGATAGGTATGTGTCTTTGATGAATGTAATGTACTTGATAATCACTCTATGGAGACTTAGTAGATGGACTTCTGGGGCTGGTGGTATAGATCAGTGGGACTCTGTGTGCTCAGCTCTGGGTTCATCGCCAGCAGCAAAGGTAAGAAATATATGGGCTTCTAGCCAGTTATAAGAAGACCTTTCCACTTACCACAGAAAGTTCCGAATGCTCTCCAGAAGTCAGTGCAGATGAGTAGTAACTTGAACGGAGGTATTCCTTCCCTATGGGACAAGGTGCTCGAGGCTCAGAAGGATGGTAGGGAGGATGTAAAGGAATGGCGGCTCGGATTGGCTCACCTAATTTCCTGGCACTTGTAACCATACTCACAGAAGGGGTTTCTGCTGCTAAGAGAAATTCAAGTGGATCTCACGATGGAATCCTTGAAAATGAATGGTTTTACACATACACATACAAACATTCACACATACTAAGGGAATCTGTGTGTGAGAGGCTGGTGATGGACTTCTTGTATAGGCAAGCACTATTCCACTGAGCTATAGCCCCAGGCCAGGAATGACTATAGAATTTGTTTTGTTTTTGAAAGAGGGTCTTACTCTACAACAGCCTTACTGTCCTAGAACTCACTCTATGTTCCATTCCAGGCTGTCCTCTAACTTTGCACAGCAATCCACCTGCCTCAGCTTCAAAAGTGCTGAGATTACAGGCATCGGCCACCAGACGCAGTTTAGGAATATAATTTTAATTTAATTAAAACAGAGCACATGGGCTGGCAAGACGGTTCAGCAGGCAAAGGTGCTTGCTGCCAATCCAGATGACCCGAGTTCAGTCCCAGGACCTACAGTGGACAGTGACCGCGAACTTCTCCCAGCTGTCCTCCAACCTACATCCGGGCACTGCGGCGCGCGCGCACACACACACACACACCTGCACTTTTGTAATCAACTACAGCCCACGACAACTCACCTTCAAAAGTTGTCTCATTCTTGGATCGAGAACTTGATGAGACAGGGTCCAACACTGCCCGATGTGCTTCAGTGCCCAGTAAAACTGAAACGTTTCTAGACTGCTTGTCTATGGGGCTCTGAGCACCTAGGAGAGAGAGTCATAAAGCTCAAGTTTTAAGCTATCAAAGTAGTTTGCTAGATTATACTAAAAGCCAACAGGAACACCATGTTCAAAAGATATTTGTCCCGACTGCTCAGGATACCAATTCCCTTTAACAACTACCATGTAGTAAGAGGCAATTCTCCACAGCCCGAGTTAGTTTTTCAATGTTGCATTACTTTGCTTTAGAGAAACAGGTGCCAGAGATGTAGAAACGCTGCCGTATGAAGTCAGGGTTATGGCTAGTACCTGTACCTAAAACTTAGGGTTCAGAAATTGCAGCCTGAATTTGATGTCTGTGAAAGTGAATGACAGTTAGCTGACATTTTAATCTAAATGTAAAAGGAAGCTGCCCCTTTAATCCCATGAAACCCAAACACCAGACCCAGTCTTTTTTTCTTGTTCTTTAAGTTTTAATTAAAAATTTTAGCTTAAAATTTTTCCCTTAATTGTATTGATTACTTTAGAGCTCTACCTATAATCTGAAAACAAGTAACAGGTTGTATACCCCACATCTAAGATGCTTGGGACCAGAAGTGTTTACGATTTTAGAAATATGTAATATACAACATGATCTTTATTAGAGGGAGGACCCAACTGATTCATGTTTCATATATGCCTTAACACACAACCTAAAACAGTTTTAATGCTCCTGGACTTGCTGACTTGTCATTGTGGTCATATTTGGAATCTTTTTTTTAAGTTTTTCTATATTCTGTTTGTTTGTTTTTAGACAGGGTCTCTATGTAGCTCTTGCTGCCCTGAAACTACATGTAGACCAGGCTGGTCTCAAACTCACAGAAATCCTCCTGTCTCTGCCTCCGGAGTGCTGGGATTAAAGCATATACCGCTATACCTGGCCAGTTTTTCTCTATTCTTGAGAATTTTATATATGTATTTCTCTTATTTAGGATTACCAGTGCTGTGATGAACACGATAACCAAAAGCAACTTGTTGAGGAAAGGATTTATTTCACTCATAGTTCCATATAACAGTTCATCATCAAAAGCAGTGAGGACAGGAACCTAGAGGCAAGAGATGATGTACAGGCCATGGAGGTGTGCTGCTTACTCAAGGTTAGGTTTAGGGTTCTGATGGCTCACCCAGCCTGCTTTCTTATAGAACCCAGGACCACCAGCCCAGGAGTAGCTCCACTCAAAATGGGCTGGATCCTCCCCCATCAATCACTAATTAAGAAAATGTCCTACAGGCTTGCCTACAGCAGATCATATAGCAGCGTGTTCTCCATTGAGACTCCCTCCTCTCTGATAACTCACGCTGTGTCAAGTTGACACAAACTAGGCAGCACAGTATACAATAAAATATGAACATGGTACCTCTGCAACTCCCAACTGTTTATATTTCCTTCATTTCTGTGCATAGGGTGCCAAGGTGTGCATCGGAAGATCAGAGAGTAACTGGCTATTCTGTGGGTCCTTGGGATAGAACTCGGTGGTCAGGCTTGGAAGTAAGGCACCCTTACTGGATGAGACATCTGGCTGGCCGCAGGTTGAAATTTTCCACTAAATTTCACATCAGTACTCAGAAAGTTTCAGACTTTGCAGCCATACAGTTTTCATGGCATCTGAGGTCATATGGCCCAGTCTAGACTCCCCACCCTCCCCTCCTTCTTTTGGTCTGCTGCTGGTCATTCAAGCATGACTCTGGGATCAGAGTATGTATCAATGCTGACAGGGACTACAGAGACTTTAGTCCAATCTTCTCATTTCACACTGACGAAAATCAAACTCAGAAAGGACCTTATCCAAAGTCACAAAGCCCACAGCTGTGAGGATGAAGGCCTCTTGATTCTCAATTCATTCTACCAATTTCTTTTCTTTTTTTTTTTTTTCTTTTTTTTTTGTTTTTTTCAG